CGGTTGCAGAGGCTATGCATCAGAAGCATAAATTGGCCTTAAGGCTGCTGATCCTCTACATCAATCTCCAACAGGGACATGCCATGCCCCCCTGCTGTGCTTAGTTCAGGACTGTGAGATTTCTATCCATCTCTTTAGCTGTGGACCTGAACATTGGGGGAGAACATAGACAAAGTGACTAAACGGACACAATTTCTCAACTCCTGCTCTAGTTAAGTAGTCCTGAAGCCATGTCCAGAACCAGATTTCTGCAACACCTACTGTCTGGGTGTAAATGACAAGCAAAACTGAACCAGACCATGTCAGACACAACCGAACTTCGCTAAACTGGTTTGTTTGTCTCCCTTCATCCACCAGGAGGCGCCTGGTTCTGGTCCGCCTCCTCACACACCTGCAGATGATTTCCTCGTTAAACGGAGTGTTCTTAAGCTGCTGACTGCCACTACTTCGACGCCAGAGTGTTTGCCAGTTTAGGGTACTCTAGCCAAGCTGTGTTTGCTGAATCAAGCTGAGTTTTTGTCAACCTAAGCTTAACTTTGTTTTGTCTTTCCCTCTTGGCAGGAAGTTGTCCTGCTAACTGGATCTCTCGGACCTTCACACCCTGGAAGGATCCACTGAGCTTCAAACTGAGCTGGGGTTCAAACAAAAGGTTTGGATCCACTTTCCCCAAGAGATCGTTTGAGCTTTCCACTGAGAAAGGGATTATTCTCCACAACGACCAGTTCACGTACCGCAGGAAATCTGAGTGGCAGTCCGCATCTCCGTTCTCCAACTATCAACCTCATTCTGGTTAAAACCTGTTCCGCCTTCCACTGAATCAGAAAAACACTGGAACCACGGCACACAGACAGGAGTCAAAGATACAACGTCACTGGAAACGTGAGTCTACAACCAAAACCTCTTCTCCAAGTTTCACAAGTCAAATTCCCCACTGAGCCTGAACTAACCACTGTGTCTTTTTCTCACTTTGCAGTTCCGGCTGAGCAGTGATTAGAGAAACACTTCTCCCCTTGTTTTACTTCTTCAATAAAACCCGTTAAACCTTTTCCCTGGTCTCTCTGTTCGGTTTTCTGCATTTTTGGGTCAGAACTTTGTAACATCATGACACAGATAACAAAGAACGCATGAGCAGACCGCGCCATATCCTTACACTCAGCCTCTATAATCATGATATTTCAGACATTCATAAAAAAAACTAGCTTCCCTTGAGTGAGACACAATTTCCATTGAGGATTCTGTTTAGCAGTGTGATGAACCTCAATATCTGTCGTTGTTTCCTGTGTCTGTAAGCCCTGATTAGATGATCGCTTATCGTATCCACTTCACAAAAGCCGACTCTGTCAAGTAAATTCACCATTCTTTGCCTGACACACCGTAAACTACGAAAAATCACATTTATAACCAAACTTCCTGAATGTTACAGGCGCAATTTTGAACAAAATGATACGCATTAGCCTTTCAAAATGCAAAACTTACAAATAGAGCAGTGTATTCTCATTATGAGTTCGTATGAAAACGTACGAAAAATTTATGCACTCTAATTTCGTACGTTTTGGACGTTTTTTTCGTCGCGTGCGCATCTTACGCACCATTTAATACCTTCGAATTTAACATACATTCCCTAACCCTGACCCTAAGGTATAAAACAGCAAGCAACGTAGTTAGAGACATGAAGAAGTAATTATTGCACTGTTTTTCCCATTTTTACAGCAGATCTGCTTTTTTTGTCTGTCTGCCTGCGCATGCGCACTGATCTGTTATTTTTTAGGAAAAACGTCCAAAATAGTGTGCATAACTTTTCGTACGATTTCATACAAACTGATAATGAGAATATGTTGAATAGAGTCAGTGCAATTGTGCGCGAATGTATAAAAGTCTAAAAATGTCCTAACATTTGAATTCATTGGGAGAACTCTGCTCTGCACATCAGAGGGAAGTAAAGGTATCAGTGCTGCCTGTGATGAATGGCGCTGCAGAACCTCTCAGCTCCCTAAACTCAATGATCTGTATATTGATCTACTCATGTTTTATCACTCCCCTGCAGAAACTGAGTCTACCAAAGAAAAATCTTAATATAATGAACAGATTCATTTTATTTTCTCATACCTAACTACTTGCAGAATAAGGTACACCCAAAATTAGTAAAGGAGGTCGAAGTGAGAGAGTGCTGTTGCTCCAAGTTTGTCCGTGGCCTTCAGCTAATCACTCCCAGAGCAGCAGAAAATCAGTGCATGCAGCGGACCTCGACAGGCCCTGTCATGTCCGAAACCGTAAAAGCACCGCAGGCAGACAGCAACATATGTGTGACTGTAACTGACAAGGAAGACATTTCAGAAGCCTTAAGCCCAGGAACAGACACACGTCCCACCAACTCTCTGCCAGGTGTGGCGATGCATGTTGCCTCTGAATCAGTAAAACTCTTGACAGCTCCCCACATGTTTGCTGTAGGTGCTCCTCCACCTCTCTGTGTCATGTGAGGAAAACACACTCAGAGCTAAAACAAAAACAATGAATGATTCTCATTCTTTAAGAGTCGAGAAGCAGCAACACCCTTCCTGGGTATTAAAGGCAGCATTCTCTGCAAGTTAGGCAAGGCTCAGCTGAGTTTAGAGCACAGAATGAATAATGCAATGCCACGCAATGACAGGCTTGATAATGAACGATGCAGAAACACCGGGGGGGGGGGGGGGGGGGGGGGGGGGGGGGGGGGCTCCATGCACCTCCAGTTCATTTAGCACCTGGGGGACCTCTGCTTCTACAATGCAATGCTCATCATCTGCACTGCAAAAGAATTTAATCTCAATAAGTCTTTTTTTTTCATAAAATAAGTGCATTTTTTTCTTGAATTACGGAAGTAAGTGAGACACTAGATAGAACAAGACAATTTACATTTTAAAATAAGAAAAAAATATACATATTGTCTTATTTGGCCACTGAGTGTTTAAAAAAAAGGCCTTAAAACATTTCTTTTTAGCAAAACTTTTGCTCCCCCTTAGATGTTTCTTTTTCTCTTTTAAAACAGCTTTTATTATTTTATTTTATATTTTTTATTTTTTTATATATATATATATTTTTTTTTATTTTATTTCTATGTATTTCTTTTTTAATGCTTTTTTAAATGCTTTTTTTGTAGCACTTTGAGGCCTTTTTGGTGAAAAGTGCAGTATAAATTAAATGAATTATTATTATTATTATGATTATTTCAAGTGCATATACCCAACTATCTTATTTTAAGAGTAAAAATACTCATTCTATTGCCGAATCGCCTTATTTACCTGCTCAAATTAAGGGTAAATACACTTAATTTAAGACATTTTTACTAATTTTAGATAGTTTTTTGCAGTGTGAGCTGTACATCAACGTGCAGTACACGCCATGCAGGCACCTGCTCACAGAAATCTATAGAGGGAAAGCCCTGATTCAGTGGAGAGAGGATCAGAGTCAGCTGATCCAAGGTCAGCTCAGCATGAAAGCTGTCCCTGGGGTCACTGTAGGGCAGCGGTGGGTAATTCCAGGTCCTGAGGGCCGCTATCCTGCAGCTGTTAGATGTGCCTTGGGTTCGACACACCTGAATCAAGTAATTAGATGATTGAGAGGACTCTGGAAGAACTAACTGCATGCATTTGATTCAGGTGTGTTGGATCTAAACGTTGCAGGATACCAGCCCCCAGGATATGGAAATGCCCACCCCCGCTCTAGGGGAAGGATGTCAGTGGTCCCTCAGGATGCCAGGGTTGTTAGTCACATGCTGCAGAGGGTCAGGTCAGAGACCCCTGAGCTGCAAGGTTTTCTGTAACAGTGAAAGCATGTGATTTTTTTTCTTTTTTAGGGAGAGGGGAGTGCTGGAACGGTCTCCCAGGAGGTGAAAGAGAGATGGCAGACACTGAGAGGGACCAAGCTGACGATATAAGGGTGAAGAATTAAAAAAATGCTGCTGGGTGAACTCTGAGACACCTGGATGGATTTAAAGTTCTCAGTTTTAACTTTTACCAAGTTTGCTGTAAAGATCCTCAAAGGTTTGCTCTTTTTATTTTCAATAAAAATACATTTAATAAGGCTATGAATACTAAAAATAAAATATGAGACAAAAAAATTATTTAAAAAAAATGTGTTTATATATATATATATATATATATATATATATATATATATATATATGACATATCACCCAGCTATGGAAGATACGGAAGAGGATTAGGGCCACTGAAAAAAAAAAAGTTGACTGATTTTATTTATTTTATTTCAGTATATGTTTCACATGAATTCTGACTTTTTTATAGTCAGAATTCAATCAGAATTCTGAGATTAAAGTCGGAATTCTGAGAAAAAAGTCAGAATTCTGAGTTGAATCTCAGAATTCTGACTTTTTTCCCATGTTAAACTGAAATAAAATTTAAAAATCAGTGAACTTTTTTTTTCAGTGGGTCACTGAAAAAATAAAAAGAGTTAAGTTTTAAATATTATTTCAGTTTAATATGAGAAAATCTCAGAATTCTGACATCTAACAAACACGTTAGCATCAAGTGGTATTCATGTCTGTTTTAGAGAATAAACTAGCTCTCTTGTTTTGATCACCTTCTGCTCTTCCATTAATAAAAGCATCACCCTCAGGGACGGAAAAAGTCTCCTAATCCCATAATTTTCCACCAATGTGTTCCTGTTTCTCCCAAACAACTCAAATCTTTGTCAGTGAAGCTGAATGCTCCACATTTCTGCCTTCATGGTGCACATCTACATTAAGATCCACAATTCTGAGATTAAAGTCAGAAATCTGAGGGGGAAAAGTCAGAATTGTGAGGAAAAAAGTCAAAATTGTGAAATTAAAGTCATAATTCTGACTTTTTTCCCATATTAAACAGAAATTATATTTATAAATCAGTTAACTTTTATTTTTCCAGTGGCCCTAATGCGTCCCCAGCGTATGGTGGCTGGGTGTTTTCTCATTGTTTACATCGCCTCCACTTCAAAGCCAGAGATAAGACGCGCCAGAATGGACTTACCACTGGAACTCATGATGCCCAATGCGTTCTCATCCAAACACGCAATAATCCCATAGAGCGCGAGGAGATGTTCTCATTATAATATCGTGGATTGGGAGCGTCTGTCAGCTCCGCTGCTTCCAGGCAATAAGGCGTGAAAGTAGACAGACGCTGGCAGAAAGAGGGACACAAATATAAACAAAGAATTCTTAGCGAGGATTATTCCTGTAATCAGCTGTAGGATCCAAAGAAAGCTCCAGATTCCACTCTGCAGAGGTCCCAGTTTTTATTTTGATTTTTTTTATTATTATTATTCTACTTGTTATTATTCCTCCGGTGAAACAGATGCAAGAGATCAGAAAACGACGCTGCTCACTTGGATTCCACCTTCACATTTTTACTCTCGCCTGATTCAGCCCCCTCCCTCCTCTCCTCCTCCTCCTCCTCCTCCTCCGGCTCCGCCAAGCTCCTCTGGCGCGTCCCCGTGCGTGCGCCTCGGGAACGCAGCCAACCAGGGGACCGGATGCAAAGCGCTCGCGTCCTTTCACAATAAGAGCGCAAAGAACATTTCTCCTCTAACTGTCAGGACAGCTTTATAGGGCAGGGAAAACCAATTAAAATCAGCGGGGTCCGAATAAAGAAAATCATCAACCAGTAAAGGTGTTTATGCATCCATTGATTTTTAGAATATAAAATGTAGAACTTCTTTACATTTTAAAATCTAAAATGTTGTTGAAGTAAAGAACAACAATCTTTCAGTTTGGTATATAGACAATTTCCTGACTCACTTTTTTTCTTTTTCTTTTTTTCCAATGTTTATTTATGCTTATTTATTATTTATTATTTATTTATGTTTATTTATGTACAATGTAAAGACATAGAAATAGTTATATAGTTAACAACCTTTAGCATATAAAGTAATTGGGCTACAACAAACCCCAATATACCCACATATATATGGAGGACCAACTCAAAAATAAAGGACAAAAAAAAAATAAGGTAAATATTACAAAGGCAAATAAATAAAGAAGCTAATTAAAAGGTATATACATTTATGTCTCACTGTATAATTTAATTTCTACTTACATTTATTTGTTTATTGTATTTTTGTTGGCAATTAATTGTATGCTTATATATTTATTTCTGTATTTATTTTTAAATATGGCAGAGTTGGTCCTCCATACATATATATTCCCACACAGAATACAAAAAATAATAATAATATTAATAATAAATAAATATAAAAAAGGATCAAGTCAGGTGAGCATAATGAGTAAGTGAACAGAAACAGATATATCAGAAGATAAATAATTAAAGTAAAAAGAATCACAGTATTAAAACTATGTTAATCTTTTTCCACAGTCCATACAGACAAAGACTAAAGAAAAAAAAACAGTTTTCTTCAGGTGTCAGGGGACACTGCTGTTGATATATAGGAAAAACTTAACTCAAGATAGAAGATAAAAGAGATGAAGACATTGGTAAGAAAAATTCATAACAGCTACATACGTTTCACCTCATCAGTCTGGGATATTAGGGAAATGAATCTTTCTAAGGACTTTTAACAAAGGGCTTCACAAACCCAGAAATCTTGCAGAAGAGCCTCTTAAAATAAAACAGATTTTCTCAAGTTTAATAAAATACAGTGTATCTCTGAGCCAGTGGATATAAGATGGAGGTTGAGGTAACTTCAATTTCATTATAATCACTCTCCGTGCCATAAAGGTCAGGAAAGCCAAGGAGCACTTCTGAAAAGAGGACAGGGTGGGCTGTGAAGGTGCAACTCCAAACAAGGCAGTCAAGGGACTATGCTCTTGTTTCTGACTCACTTTTTTATATACTTTATTTATACACCTGAATTGACTGTTTATTTATTTTTTCTTTCTGTCTTAATGAGAGCAGTGGGCTCTCATTAAGACAGAAAGAAGGAAAAAAAACGGTCAATTCAGGTGTTTTATAAAACATGTGAATCATTGTCTATATACCAAACTGAATGATTTTTGTTCTCTACTTCAAAAAGCACTTTAGATTTTAAAATGGAAAAATCTTCTATATTTTTATTTTTATATTCAAAATTTCTATGTATAACATGAATGCATAAAAACCTGCTTTTTATTTCAGTGTTAAATTCTGTTTAAAGCAACAGATTATAATTAAAAATGTCTCCGGACCTTTACTGGTTGATGATTTTCTTTTTTTGGACCCTGCTGGTCTTTTATTGGTGACCCCTGCTCTAGACATTGAAATGTATGGAAGAGGATTAGGGCCACTGGAAAAAAAAATAATAACAATTAAACAGATTTTTACATTTTATTTCAATTTAATATGGGAGAAGTCTGAATTCTGAGATTAAAGTCAGAATTCTGAGAATAAAGTCAGAATTTTGAGATTAAAGTCAGAATTCTGAGAACAAAAAAGTCAGAATTCTGAGAATAAAGTCAGAATTCTAAGAAATAAAGTCAGAATTCTGAGATAAAAGTCAGAATTCTGAGAATAAAGTCAGAATTCTAAGAAATAAAGTCAGAATTCTGAGATTAAAGTCAGAATTCAGAGAATAAAGTCAGAATTCTAAGAAATAAAGTCAGAATTCTGAGATAAAAGTCAGAATTCTGAGGAAAAAAAGTCAGAATTCAGAGAATAAAGTCAGAATTCTAAGAAATAAAGTCAGAATTCTGAGATAAAAGTCAGAATTCAGAGAATAAAGTCAGAATTCTAAGAAATAAAGTCAGAATTCTGGTCTTTTTCCTATTTTTTCCTAACTTTTTTTTTTCCAGTGGCCCTAATCCTCTTCCGCAGAAATGCTCTCAAACTCACCTCTCTGAAATTAATTATGATTATTATTATTCAACATTTAATAAAGTAAAGCGGTTTTATTTTGAAAAAAAGATTTCCGTGTTTCCGGTTTAACTCTAACACTGACATTGAGGATTCGTGGACTTTACTATTCTCACTTTCATCTTTGGTTGCAGCGACGTCACTTTTTTTTTTTTTTTTTGATAAAGAATAAGGACACGTTACCCTACAGGTCAGTAAAAAAAAAAAATAATAATAAAAATTAAATGTTTTCATCAAAAGGAGAAAGACAGATATCAGTGTTTGTTTGAAGGGAATTAAGTTCAGTTAATTATTGAGGATTCAGTCAATTAATCCAAATGACTCTTTTAAAAACCCAAGGAAGACAAAAAGATTTAGGAGAAGAAATAAATCTTAAAGTGGAGAGAGCTTTTCTAAAATGTTTGTGTCATGAAGAGTTTGTTTTTAAAAGTGTTATGAGGCTGCCCTCTTCTGGGAATTAGATGTAAGCAAAGGGTTTGGACTGTTTATGGTTGGAGTTAAGAAAGGGCAAAACATTACAACAGAAATACTCACTAAGTCAAACTTTTGTTATACTTTTATCTTAAATACAACTACACTGGAAAAAAAATCAAAATCTAGATAATTATTTTTTTCTTAGAATAAGTGGATTTGTTCTTGGATTCAGGAGGTAAAAAATACATTTTGCCAATGGAAACAGACAATTTACACTTAAAAAAGGGAAAAACACAATTGTATTGTGTTATTTCAAGCACATTTTATCTAAACATTTTATTTTAAGAGTAAAAATACTAATTTCATTGGGAAACTATCTCATTTACCTTTTCAAATTAAGGGTAAATACATTTATTTTAAGAAATATTTACTTATTTCTAGATCGTTTTTCCAGTGTATGGCCCATCCTTTCTTTTTAAATTGAAGGACAAGTATTGACATTTTACAGTCACTGCAAAGGATAGAAGTGACTGGTTTTTATTTACTTCTCTGGTCTGATGGCTGCAGGCCGAACCGTCATGCTCTGCTAGCTTTGCTTTCTCTTTACTTTAAATGGGTTCATGGGTATCAATGCGTAAAGATCTCCATCTAAGTGTGCAACACCCATCCGCTGTTAGAGTCGCAGCCATCCAACCTGGAAGCTGCTCTGATACAACGTGAGCACTGAGAAATAAAACAGCCCCAAGATGGAAGGAAGAAAATAAACGCAGAAGAAGAGCTAATTCTGTTTACTATCAACTTATATTTAGTGCGTGTTTATCACAAAGAGAACAAAATGTCAAAAGGTCTGCAGGTAACTGAGCTTAATGGGAAAAAAGCCACCATTAGTCATGCATTGAACAAATTTGTCCTTCATAAGAAGTTTAATAAAATAGTTTATCCCATTTAGTGAGACATGGAAAATATTTAGAGGTTGATGATCAGGTCAGATATATATAATTTTTTGGCCTTAATCTAAAGCATTATGGATCTAGTCTGTTAAAATCCATAATAAGGAACATTGTATTGCTTTTGCAAGTAAAATAAAACACATGATTTAATGGATGTGTGATACGCGATCTACTGAGATGCATTACCTAAATAAATGATGACCAGCCTGAGCAGGATGGCATAATATGAGAGTAAAATACTGTATTTATAATGTGAGTTTAGAGTTTAGAGTTAGATTCAAATGTGATTCAAATGTCCTATTTGAAGGATGTTCAATTCTATTCAGTTTATTTCTATAGCGCCAATTCACAACACATCATCTCAAGGCACTTTACAGTTCAACCAGATCATCCATTCAGATTGATTCAAAGTTTTCTATCTAAGGAAAACCAGCTGATTGCATCGACTCATTGACTCTTCAGCAATCCCTCCCATTAAGCATGCTTGTAGCGACAGTGGAGAGGAAAAACTCCCTTTGAACAGGAAGGAACCTCCAGAAGAACCAGGCTCAGTGTGAGCGGCCATCTGCTGAGGCCCACTGGGGTTCAAGGAGACAGAAGCAGAGATAGAAAAAGAAGCATAGATACAAAAGGCAACTGTCAACCAGCTCCACAGGCGGCCCCGTCCAGGAAACACACAGCATGGCAGACGAGCTCCGAGCCAGCTCCCATGTCAGAGGATGAAGAGAGCACATCCAGTTAGTCACAGTCAGAGAAACAGGACTACACTGAATAACATCTCCAACATCTATAAACAAAGGCGTTGATGGCAGCAGCACAGCTGATATTTCTCTCCAGGATGGAGTCACAGCCAAACAGGAACAGACCAGATGAAGCTACTATGAGAAAAAGCAGAGAGAGCAGAA